CCGAAGACCGATATCGTCCCACAATGATTGACGTTAAGAATGTAAACTAACTATTACGAATATCATATCTTTACTTTATCTAAGCGATCAAATTTGATTGTGATAAACTCAAAGAAATACTAAAATAAAGAAAAACTAAATTAAAAGAAAAGATAACAGTATTGAATAACATGCGCTGAAATTAAAATGGAAAATCAATATGATGGTAATGTTAGGGTTTCAACTTCACTCTATTGCGATAATGTTTATCCGTAGTAATGTACCTAACCTAGTTCAACGTTCTCAAGTAGAGTGTTGTGTATCCTTATACCCTCTCTCGAGTGCTGCATAAAGAATGTGTAGGTGATATCAAGCCTATATCTCTATACAACTATTCACCCCTACCTTCATTAAGCACCACTCTAGAAACAATTCCTGGAATTCCACTTCTCAATTTCACAACCTAAAATTGTTTCGGCTACCTAGGCAATGTTTATCTCTCGACCTCACACCAACCTAAGTTGTTCTACCCGTTTCTTGATTGCTTGAACATCCCCCTCTCGAGTATTGATCATCACAATCTAAATTTGCCCAATTCACAATCTCACAAAGCATAGCATGTAAATTATAGATCTGACAGCAACAATTCAAGATAGAACACGAAAGAAACGAAGAACTTTAATTAAATGCACATTAAAACGTCGAAACAATAATCACAAATAGAGATTCATCTAAATCCTAACAATTAAGAAAATTAGCCACACATCATGTGGTTCACAATCTCAAACTAATATTCAAAATCTAGAAAAATACAAGAAGAAAGAGAAGAAGATAACGAAGAACGCTTGGAATTCTTGAAGAACTGCTCCAAATTCCCTCGAATCCTCTCCAATTCAGTTTTTGTTCCTTTGCAATTCCTTTTTTTTTTCTCTCCCGTTTTCTCTCCCCTTCCCTTCAGTTTTTGGTCCCCTCTTTTATATTTCACGTCCAGCACGCCTCCCAAGAAGCCAATTCTGAATTTCCATAAAAATCCGCGCCCAACCTAGGGCAAAACGCGTGTTTCTAATAAAATTGGGTAACTCAGGCGACATATAGCCTAGAACAGGCGACATATCGCCTGATAGCGACAACATATCGCCACAAAGGAAGCGACATATCGAGCCCCTTGCTGTTCTTTCGTACAGGTTTGCTCGATTTTGCTCTTTTTCACGCCGCGTCGCCATCTGAAGGCGCCGTATCGCCTCATTCTCTGTCTTTTTGATCCAAAATGCCTCAAAACTTGGCAATTTCACCCATTCATGTACATTCAAGAGAAAATCATCAAATCCACAAAAAACTTGAGAAAAAACATGCCGAAACTAGCTAAAGGAGTAACGAATGAGTGCATAAATTACACACTCATCACATTTTCTGAGAGCCGTTAATTGTAGTAAAAAAAGTTAGATTCGACATTTTTTAAGAGCTTTTAACTGTAAAAAATTAGGTCTAAAAACTCGAATCGGTGAAATAAACGAAGCCATAGTCGCTAACTTATAGAATGGTAATTGTTATATTAGTCTTGTCTTTCCTCGTAGCAAAATTCGACATTATTTTGAGTCCTTAATACTTTTTGATACAAGGCCTGATTGAACCTGTAACAATCTTTATTGCTTCTGAAATCTGAATGACTAAACTTTTATTGACTGGGCAAATGGACTAAGGAGAATAGAAAGTGGATTAAATAGATTTATAGAAATAAGATATCTTGTATCAAGTTGAAAAGGATGATTTTTTTTTTTTTTTTTGCCCCTTCTGCACGTTGAATTAGAAAAAGATTGGAGCTAATTAATTAAATATGGATTTTCTTTTTTGTGTTCATTACTATTTCTTAAAAAGACAACATTGTAGAAATAATCTAGTGTTCAGTACTAATTCTTAAAAAGACTATAGATTATAGAAATAACTTATAGTTATAAGTTTAGACCAAATCAAACAGACGAAACCAAAACTTATCACTATTGGTCCAATCTCAATCCGATTATGATGAAATTTCCATTCAAGTTTGAGCCGGACTGGTTGACCCGAACTTGCACCTTTAGAATAAAGGAGAAATAGGGAAATAGACTAAGACTTGAGATGAATTAAAATGAATAGGCCAATAGTTTACATAAGTTAATAAATCGGCTAAATTACTGTTTTTGTCCATAACTTGTCTGGTTATGAACCATAACTTGAAAAGTTATTGTCCATAATTTACAGTTTTTGTTCATAACTTGTTCTGACTATGAACCATAATTTGACAAATTTGTCCATAACTTATTTGATTATGAACCATAACTTGATAAGTTATGGCCTAATAATTTTTATAATTAAAAGTTAGCCTATATACTTTCTTAAGCTTTTCCTATTCTCTATTTTCTACTATTTTCGTTAGAATAACTTCACTTCCGAGGCCCAATTGAAGGAAAAGAGAAAGGAAGCCGCTTATTTGAATTAAGTACACGTCTGCAGCCAAATTAATGGATCTGTAAGATAAGGTTTCGAACGCAGATCTAACCAGCCTAAACTCTTTTCTCATTTTGGGCCATGGTCTATTCGTTGAGGGAAGTTGAACTTGTTTAGTTTGAGCTATCTTCCCTCTCTTTCTCTCTCTCTCTCTCTCTCTCTCTCTCATGGGGTTTGAGCTGACATTGTTAGAGCATATTCAATATGACGGCAAGTTAACGTATCAATGTTAAATTTTAGTATTTAAATAGAAATCTACTATTTAAGTCGGTTTTATATGTCAAAATTTAGCATTTGACTTAGTTGACTTCTTCATTTCTGAAGTGGGGATGTGGATTGTTATGGCATTATGTTTATGGAGACTTTCAGAACAAAGAAGCCAAGAAATGTAATGTTCTATGCATAAATGAATTTGAAGCAACGAGTTAAAAATAACATTAATGTATGTAGTATAGTACGCTTGATTGGAAACTTGTTTAAATGATTTAACATTGTCTATTTATAATTATCTTTTTATATATTGTGATGAGTGCTTTTGCAAAGAAATTGAGCTGTTGGTTCAACACTAATGGCGTTGAATGTTTGGCAATTAGGAAGAGTATTCTGCTCGGTTCAAATTATGATTTGTAACTCGCTGCAGTATCTTCTCTCACAAAAAAATATACGTAAAAAATGATTCTAAAGAATGGTTCTGAATCTATGAACCAAACATCAATATCTTAAGGTGTATCATTGAAGTGAAGAGTGATTCGCTCAATGTGATAGAAGAGTTGTGCGACTGACTTCTTCCTTAGCTTTAGAAGGTCTTCTTCTTCATGATATTCATTTGCTTTTGTCTATTGAGAGTTGTTCATATTTCCACATTTTATAAACTTGTAGCCCACACTCTAGCTCGCTTTGCCCTTTTTGCAATGTTGCTCTACTTCATTTAGAATAATCTCCGCCCTATGTGACTTTATATTGCAAGAGACTTGATGGCTTCGTTTGAGTAATACAATCACTCAATTTTTTCAAATAATAATAATAATAAAAGAAAAAAATATATATATTTTGAAAAACTTAGGTCTCGTTCACTACATTGATTTGAGTTTTGTTACAATAAAAAGTTCTAAAAAACAATAACATTTAACTTTTTTATTATAGTAAAAAACTCTCACATAAAATCACATCGAAACTCGAATTATAAACTCGAATCAGCGAATTAAACGAGCCCTTATTTTAGTTGGTTTATTTTTTTAATGGAATATTTTAGCTGGTTTATGACGAACTATCTATTGGACTAACATCTTGCCGAAGCCAAATGTTGGGGACAAACAATTCTCTTGTACTAGCTAGGTCCAAAGATTCTCTTGCAGCTCTTTGTTTGATCGTTTCGCGATGAATTCAGCTTGAACGAAAGGCTGGCTCATTTTGCTGAAAAAGAAGTCTCTTTCAAATCTCAAATTAAATCGATTTCATTTACTTTTTTTTGCTTGAAACTGGCTCGATTGTTCTTCCAAGAAAAAATAAATACGACACTCGTCTAGTATATTATTTCTAGTCATTTTCTAAATTTTGCGGTGTTTCTAGTCACTTTGAAATCAAGATTAAAATGACTTTTTTCTTTTAATATTAATATTCACAAAAAAAATCTTCGCACTACAAGGCTCCCCGTGTTTATTTATTTATTAGTTCGCATATTTAACTTACTGCAAATCCTATTTAGTTCATAAATTTTAACAGAAAAATTTAAATAGAAATTTAAATTTTGTTCGTGAAAATTCTTTCAACTGTAATTCAAACCTAAGGAATTCTTTGCGTAGAGGAGTAAGCAACGTACTTGGGCCGTAAGGTAATAACACAGCCCAACCATTTTCTTTAGTTTATTTATTTATTTTTTATTATTTCTGAGAAGTAGAAGTCCCAACGGTTTTCCTAGTAGAACTTCCGTCCGTTGGTTGAAAATTGGAATGACCCGCCATTTCAACTAAATTATGAAAACATGAAAAACGCCCATTTCTCAACCCAAAAAGAGAAATAGAAAAAAGAAAAAAATTCTATCTTTCTTGTGCTAACCACTCAAACACTCTAAACTCGAAAATGGAAACCCAGAAAGCCCAAAACACAAACTTCTTTTTCTGGTTGGTGAGAGGTAGCTATTCTTCTTCTGTAAGGTTGGTTAATTGTATAAAAAGTATTGTTGGGTTTTCAGTTTTCGCTTATGACTCACTCATCTACTTGTTTCTTTGCTTCATTTTCAATTCAAAACAACACTTGGAGATCATACCAGAAGCGTTCTTCTTCTTCTTCTTCTTCTTCTTCTTCCACGTCCTAATTTTTATTTATTTTTTCCATTCTTTAAGTCTTTTTTTTTTGGGCCACCAAACATGATATTTGTTTCATATGCTCTAAAGTGTGGTTTGCTCATATTCAGATGGAGAGAAATACCAGAGAATAGCTCAGAAGTTTTGTTTTTGTTTTTGTTTCTGGGTTGATCAAATTTTAAGAGTTGAATGTTATCTTGTTAAAGATTTTTCTGAGTGAAAAAAAGTAGTATAATGGGAAAACCAGGGTCTCCAAGAAGCCCACGTCCAGAGACACAAAACGACGACGTATCGTCATTGTCGAGGATGAAAGAGTATAAGCTTCGATCTTCAGAAACTGGGAATGACCCACCTATTGGAAGAAGAATGTTTGGGGGAGCAGTGTTGTTTCATGGCTCCAAGAATGATTTTTCTGCAAAACATGGGACTTATTATAAGGGGAATTATGTTGGGAAAAAACATATTTGGCTCCGAAAGCACCTCAAGTCAATTGCTTTAATGTTTGTCTTCATGGGATTACTTTTCATGCTTGATTCTCTCATGGTATTTATTTTCGATTCGGCGAATCTTCAGAGTAGTTTAACTCCAAGAAGATCAAGTGGGACTAAGGTAAAGTGGTGCATCTATGTGGTATAATATTAGGTGCAGGTGAATGTGATTTCTAAGTTGTTTTTCTTTATTGTTTGCAAGACATACTTTATATCTATTTCCTTTTGTTTTTCTTTTTCTAACTAGCTTGAGAATTCAGATAGTTTTTTTTTTTTTTTTTTTTTTCACTAGAATATTATTGATTGACGATTAACTTGTGTGAATTTTATGCATTTTTCAAAAGGAAGAGGACAGAGTTGGCAACAAAGAGAATACAAAATCAGCAGTTCATATGTATGATCGGCTTCTGAACTTGGCTTCTAGTGCTCTGGCAGAGGTTTGTTTTGTTTCGTCATGACTTTCACATATCAGTAATTTATATTTGACTAAGCTTGTTGGCTAATGATTGAAATTGTTTTTTCCATGAAATTTGAATCTTTTTCTACATAGAAAGAGTTTAAACAAGAGTCTGCAAGCTTCTGGGAAGAGCCATATAAGCAGGCGTCTGCGTGGAGACCTTGTGCAGATAAAAAACTTCCTACGAGTCTTGGTATCTGATCTTTCATGGCCTTTTTTTGTTGCACTACAAATTTTTATAGTAATCCCTTTCTTTGTAATTGAATCAATTTAGTTTTATATTGTTTTAGCAGGGAGATATGATGAAAATAATGGCTACATATTAGTCAGCGCAAATGGTGGTCTCAATCAACAACGTGTTGCAGTAAGTATTCAAGTCTTTCTGTAATATTAAGGTCATACTGAGAAAAGAAATTGAATACTTCTTGTAATAATTGTATGTGAAAGACTTCCTAAGAGGGTCCATGTGTTAAACTTTATTGAATGGTTGATCTTGATCTTCTCTGGCTTTTAGTCTCGACAACAAAAAATTATAATTTGATTAAGAGAGCTTCAAGGGAAAGTATAAACATCCAAGGAATTTTGATTAAATAGATGGGATATTGAACATATTGTACTTGAAACAAGATAATGAAAACATATCTTAGTAGTTTCGTTTTTGTAGTCCTTTTTTTTTTTTTTTAAATATAATTCTAAGTTTAATATGTAACCATTTCTGCGTAAAATAAGAGCCTACCTTTCTTTGTAAATGATTTTATTGTGATGATTTCCTTATTCTATTATGTTGTTCCACTAATAGGGTGACCAAGATATTGCAACTGCTTGCAGATATGCAATGCTGTTGTCGTGGCATCGCTTTTAAATGCAACTCTTGTTCTTCCAAGGTTTCTTTACAGCAATGTATGGAAAGATCCCAGGTTAGAGATCAAATCTAAATTTCCTACACCTTTAATTAATCTACTTTGTTAGTTTTTGCAACTTTCTGGAAGAAGCTGCTTTGTTAGTAATTATGACATATGGCACATAAACTTGATATACTCACATCATTCAATACCTGAAAAATTTGTTTATCATTTTCTTCTTAGATGCCATCTACACGTGCGAGAATTTAATTCTTGTTTTAATTCGGTCTAATGAAAATATACTTGAAATCTTGCAAATATAAAAATGTCGAGCTTTACATTAATGAATGTGCAGCCAATTTGGTGATATTTACCAAGAGAAGCATTTTATGAAGATCATGAAGGATGAAGTAGATATTGTAAAGGACCTACCGCCTGATTTGAAATCAATTGACATTGAAGCTATTGGTAGTCTTGTAAGTCATTTTATTGATCTATATGTTGCTTCATATGAATCAAGTACTAACCAGTTTTAGCTTGAAAACAATTTTTACAAACCTTTTATGTTCCTCTTTCCAGATAACTGATGCAGATCTTGTGAAAGAGGCAAAACCTGTTGATTATATCAGAACTGTGCTTCCTCTACTCTTGCGCAATAGAGTTGTTCACTTCCTCGGATTTGGAAATCGGCTTGGCTTTGATCCATTCCCCTCCGAGCTTCAGGTGATCTTCTATGTGTCTCACTTTTAGCTAGCAACTTGCGTTTTGTTTTTTGTAACAATTTCTGACAATACTATTCTTGCTGAGACTTATTTCTTTTACAACATTGCTTAATCACGCATACAAATAGTATTCATCAAGGTTCATAATCATAAACGACAGTCATGATTGATAACATTTCACTTTCTTGCAGAAACTGAGATGCAAGTGCAACTTCCATGCATTGAAGTTTGTTCCAAAAATTCAGCAAGTCGGTTCATTATTGGTTAGAAGGATCCGAAAACACAACGCTGCAAGGAGTACATTGGACAAACAGTTGCTTGGAAATTTCAAGTCTAGAGTACCTCCAAAAGGACGTGATGTTGCAAGCAATGGTCCATCCAAATATCTTGCATTGCATTTAAGATTTGAAGTTGACATGGTTGCTTACTCTCTATGTGAGTTTGGCGGTGGAGAGACTGAGAGAAAGGAACTTCAAGCCTACAGAGAACTTCATTTCCCTTTGCTCATTAAGCGCTTGAAGAACTCAAAGTATGTATTTCATGCCTTCCACTTGTGCCTTTTTCAAGTCTCAAGAATTACTGAAAAATTTAGTATCTTTCATCTTTGATTTTTTTTTTTTGGGCGTGTTATATGTCAATATGTATTCTCAGGCAAGTTTCTCCAAAAGAGTTGAGAAAGCTAGGGAGGTGTCCTTTGACACCAGAAGAAGCAGGGCTTGTTTTAGCTGGTCTTGGGTTTAAACGTGGAACGTATATATATTTAGCAGGTTCTCACATATATGGTGGTAAATCTAGAATGAATTCTTTCACCAGTTTGTATCCTAATCTAGTCACAAAAGAAACTCTTCTCACGCCTACTGAACTCGCACCATTTCAAAACTTCTCTTCTCAGGTAAAATTACGCATACTAATTGTTATAATTTGCACTTATCATTTCTTTTATGTTACTAATTTGGGCCTCTTGATGCAGCTAGCAGCATTGGACTTCATTGCATGTGCAACAGCAGATGTGTTTGCCATGACTGATTCTGGAAGCCAATTATCTTCCTTAGTTTCGGGTTTTCGAACCTATTATGGCGGCGGCAATGCGCCTACTTTGCGGCCTAACAAGAAGAGATTAGCAGCAATTTTGTCGGAAAGTGACACTATAGAATGGAATAGTTTTGAAGACAGAGTGAAAAAGATGATTGAGGAAGGCCAAAGAGCACGTGTTAGGGGTTTTGGTAGAAGTATTTATAGACAACCAAGGTGTCCACAGTGCATGTGCAAAATTCACTAATATATTCTCAAAATTATGATCACCATTTGGATTCTTGTCAATTCTTCAAGATATATTTCCATAATTTTTTAATGGTTACCCCTTCTTTCAGCTACATATATTAGTTGCAATTTTTTTTTTGTCCTATATCCACTTTTCTTCAATTTTTTTATACAATTGTAAATTTTTGATACTGTAAACTAATAAATAAAACCATGGTGAAAATTACACAATACGATGGAGTGGATTTGCGAAAGAAAAAGAACTGTATCAACATTACAGGTATAAATTAAATCACACACTTACATGTTATAGTATGTAATTGATATCTCCAAAATAGATGGTATACTTTTTGAATAAACACAAAACATTTATATAATAATTAAATAAGTAAAGAAAATATAAGAATTCTTCTTCTACAAGGAGTAGAATTCCAAGCGATTACAATTGATCAGCACAGAAAATACAGTTTACAAACCTTAACTACTTCAAGTGCTCTTATTGTTCTAATTCTACTCGATTTATAACTCTTTACCATTAAATACAGAGCAATCTTAAGTCTCAAGTCTCACATCCTATCATTGAGCTCAATCTCTCTCTCTCTCTCCCCGTGTGAAAAGTTTCGGTTGGGCGTTGCAGAGCAAATTGTCAATAAGGTTGGTTGTTTCTTGATTTCGAGTTTCTTTTTTTTTTATTATTCTCTGTTTGGCTGTCGAGAAAGTGAAACGAAAAAAACTTAAGGGAAATCTTCTGCGTCCTTTTGCTGTAATATAATTGTTGAAGATTGACTAATGCCATCGAAATTTTTGAATATCTAATCAAAGCTCAAATCTTTTTTCAACTTCTTTCTAGACATTACTGAAAAGAATTTGTTCTTCACATTATTCTATGCACGGAAGGAGATCTGTTCTTGATGCAAATCTTCTCTCGTAGTCGTTTTTAGTCATAAGTCCAAATTCAAAATCAACTCAAATTGTTGTTTTTGTTCTGTAATTCTAATTGCTCTCGAACTCGTTTCTAATAGGAAAACAGAGCTTCTCTGTCCTCGAATTCTATCTTTCTCTGTAGGAAAACAGAGCTTCTCTGTTCTCGAATTCTATCTTTCTCTGTTTTGCTGCAGAGAGCTGTATAATTTTTGGAATAATCAAACAAAGTTCAATTATAATTCAACGTCCATTTAGATATTAAGGAAGGAATTTGTTTATAACATTATTTTAATCTCTTGCTGTAAAAATTTGTTATGAAATCTTCAGTTTTTGTTCAATTATATGTAAGGAGTATCATTCTTGATGCAGAACTAAATAGTGTTACTGTTCGAATGCTGTAGTCTTAAGATTCTTGATAGCGAAGAAGTGATTTAGAAGAACGGCGAGGAGAAAGTCAAGAAGAGCAGCGACAACGAAACCTCCCATGAAGCATGTAATGACTGAGAAAATCCTAGACCTTAAATAATATAATTTATGTATTTAAGCCAAAGATTTTCTTAGACAAATATTATGTGACTGAAGGATTTATGGAATTAATATATGTATTCCTGAATTCTGTAGCAGATTTCATGTTAAGTTCATGTTTTCGATCAAGTAAATTCGATCGATAAATT